CCGATTTGATTTAAGGAAGCCTTAAAAGGTTTTTTTTCCCTAGTATTTAATGCCCAAGGACAGCGTTTTCCAATTTCGGCAACTTGAAGAGTTCAACTCCCAGAATCCCCCAGCCAGCCTGGGTGGACGTCAACTCCCAGAATTCCCCAGCTAGCATGCTGGCTGGGGAATTCTCAGAGATGATATCCATACGTCTTAAAGTTGCTAAAGTTAGCATCTCTGGTGTTTTGCATAGGATCAGCTTCTGAGCCGTGTAAAAATGGCAGCAATATCGCGGCCGGAGGGTCAGGGTACTAGGTAACAATGATGTTGTTACCTTGTGCAACTGAACTAGTACAACTGATGACGTTCCCTAGCTGGGTAACGAAACGTCTGCAAGGTCCGAGAGCACCAAGGACGCTGCCGTTACGATTCTTTTCCCAACGTTGGAACCCTGATACTTGGCTTAAACCCATGTTCTGCCCTTCGGCCATAAACGATCAAAACAGGCTGGGTTGATGCAAAGCACACGTCCCAAGTCATCTAGGTTAAACTTGGGGAATCAAGTCGTGGGAATGCATCGTCCAGACTTTCCACTAACTTAGTTAAAAATACTATCCCTGATGATGGGGCCTGCAGGAAGCTGGCCAGTCCACCAGAGGGCGCTGATGTTTAGATCTGGGGATGCTCAAAAGGAAAAGAAATAGAAATTAAATAGAAAACGCTATTCTATTATTAACTTAGTTTTTCTTACCATGTTCCATCTCACTGAATAATTCATTGTTATGATTTATGTGACACCATCGGGGTGCAGAATGTCCCTGCTCCCCGATCCCGGGAAACCAGGCTGAAACGAGGTAAACGGAGAAACAATTTTCTTAACGCCGGATTTAGTCGAGCAAAAGTTAATTTAGCTGAAAAGGTCATTTGCGGGGGGAAAAAATGGAGATGAAAAGCTGTCACGTTCGTCTCCAATGTGTTCTGGCCGAGGCTTCATCGGTCGCTGGGTTAAAAAGTTCTTTTTTTCTTTTAAAAGAGACTCCAACGGCGTGAGATTGCAGCCGGGTTGAATTGGGAGCGTTGATAAGACATTAGTGGGGTTTTTTGCCTTTATTCAGGGCTGTCTTCCTTGGTTTTGAGTCAGGCTGATGGAATTAAATGTCGTGATAGCCGCAGAATAGGGAAAGCATCGCTAATGGGGGGAAAAAACACCCTTCACCCAGACAGACAAATGAAAAGCCAGTATTTTTCCTCCGGGATGCAGGTCTTGCTTGTTATAGGACCAAATGCAGAGTAATTGCCTGGAAATCCCCCACCCTCCAGAATGAAATTTGGGGAGAAAAAGCTGCTGAAGGGTTTGGAGAGGTGTTTTGAACACGGGTATCGATGGAGAAGAAGGAGTGGTGTTCGTTGGACGAGTTCCAGTAAGAAATATGAAACTCGCTGCATTCAGCCTGATCTGCCGTTTGCTGTTTTAACCCCACGTTGCATTTTTCAGAACCAACAAAGAAGTCCAAATGCAGATTTGCACGAACTATGCATCCACCCGGATGCATGAACCCCATTACAAAATCTTGGCTTATCTGCCGGTGGGCTTCCGCTCTGCCATTTTAGGTACCCTTTCTGGACTACAAGATGAGTATCTATCCGCCTAGGTGGGGCCGAGCTGACGGCCAGCCGTTCCGTACGGTGAATTTCCTGCAGTGGAAAATGTCTCGCGTTAGAGGCCAGGGTGCAAAAATGTACTTGCTGCGTGGAGGCTTTGAAGACTTAAAGGAATAATAATAATTTTGTAAAAAAAAAAAAAAAAAAAAGGGCCCA